TAGTGCTCTGTAACTGAGAGAAAGGTTTTCCAAGCACAGGAAAAAATGCAGGTGGAAAGATGATGGTATTGAAATGATGGCTGGCATGTCAGAAAAATCAAGAGTGATATTTAAGTCTACCATGATTTTTTCTTATTCAGGCTCAAGAGGATAAACTTATTTGTAAAGTTGTCCAGTGTTTGGGGATATTAGAGATCTTGCTGATATGTACTATTTAAGTCATTCTGAGAGCATATTTCAGTGGGACATACAAATATATAACTGGGCCTTTCTCAGGCTAATTATACTTCTTGATTATGCAAAGCTCATGACTATTTCCTTGAAAACACTGCTGATAATAGTGGCAACGTTAACCCTCATTAATTTTGCAGGAGACAAGCTTTTGGTTGAATGTTCTGGACTTTGCTGTTGTGTCATTCTGAGCAGCCACAGAGTCTGGTTTTCTACCATATGGAATCTAAAACTTGTTCAACAACACAGGAGAGGCAGCATTAATTTTTCACTCTCAGCAGTAAGCCAGAAATCATTAATTTCCCACAAATAGAAAGAAAATTCCAAATCATTCAATCAGCCCCGCCCCCACTAATGCTCCTGACTCAGCACACCCTGTCCTTGGGTCAGTGTGTCTATCACATGACAGTGTAAAGGTTGAGTGTCCGCTCAACTCGCTGCCTGCCTACTTCATAAATCACGATGAGTCTTTGATATATTTTTCTGTCCACTGGTGCTTTGTTGGAGGCAAAGGACCTACGACACTGCTTCAGCTGCTCTTAGAGGCCACCGCCATGTATGTTTTCAAAGACTACTTCTTTGAGATCTATGTTTTAATTATTACAATTACACATATATGAGACAAATAATAGAAAAGCAGTCATTACCCACTCCATTCTCTGTGCCAGCCCTTTTCTTTGCTAAAGCGCTTGCTGTCTCTGGGTTGGGTTCAGTGCTCTGGGTCATGTTTACCAGTAATCTGCCCTTTCTGCAGAGAAAAATGAGGCACAACCCTTAGAACAGGGTGAAGGTGCAAGTCAGGGACCAAAGAAATTCCTCCCGGGCTCCTGAAAGCCCAAGGCCACACTTGGGAAAAGCTTGCAGTCCTGGCAAAAGAAGAATGATTCTATTATAACTGTCATTTAATCAGTACTGGGCAGGAGGAGGGGCAAGAGTGGCCTTCATGTTTCAGAAGACTAAACAAGGGTTAGAGTCTTAGCAGGAAGCAACTGGGAAGTTATCTGTCCAACCACATCTTTCAATAGACAAGCACATCAGATCCTGGGAAAGTTAAGAGTTTGCAGGTCAAACTACAAACTAGCGACTGAGCCAGGACTGTTAACTCTCATTATGGCTCCTTTCTTTATGCCACACCTTTACATAACATAGACCACCTTACCTTTGAGAACTGCTAGAAACTCCTGCAGTAATTATGATACCTAATAGCTTCAGGGAGCTCTGGTAGCATAGTGGCTAAGGCACTTGACTGCTAACCAGAAGGCTGGCGGTTCAAATCCACCAGCCACTCCTCGGAAGGAAGGTTGGGCAATCCTACTTCCGTAGTGATACTGCCTCGGAAACCCAAGGAGGGGTCGCTATGAGTCGGGGTCGACTCGACGGCAAATAACAACAACAACAACAACAACAATAGCTTCAGATGAGGCACAAAACCAAAAGACACCAAGAATATAGCCTGAGATATTCCAAGGAAGTAAGCCTTGAGAAAAAAGGAACCACTTGGTATTGATACCTTCCAAAACTAAGAGATAAGGCTCATAGTCATAATTTAGGGGCTTCTCTTTGTCCTTCTCATGGGCTAATAAGCTTTAGCTCAACATGTATTAACTCTATATTTGCCCACTGGAGAAGGGCCGACTTTTGGAGTATTCTGAAACTCTGTTCCCCACTTCTGCATAAGTGTTTAAACCCTTTGGCCTCTCTTCAGTGTGACTGAATTGACTCTGTGTCCCTCAAGGCACGGGCCCACATTTTGGGATAACAGTTATTTTTTTTTTCTGGAGGAAAATAAGTCATAGGTCTCAGAATGTATCATATTCAGATATTATGTTTTGCATGACACACAAATTTAATTTTTAAAAATATACATTATGCACTATAACACTGTAATTAATATATGTTTGGCCTTGTATTAGATAAACCTTATGAATGAGGACGAAAAGTTAAAACCCACCTAAATAATCATCCAAGCATCCTCCTCATCTGCTTTCATACTTTTGCTTTAACTACACCGAACTTCTCATCCTTTTCCCAATTACAGTGCTTCCTCATGTTTCTTCTGCCTTTGCACATGATGCTTCCTCTGCCCCAAATTATATTTTTCATAACTTGACTCATTCTTCGGCTTAGGCACTATTCCACCGGAGCTCCTGTAAGTATTATCCTGAGCCTAAGAGGGCACACAGCAGGGCTTCTCCCATATGCCTACAGAATTACTGTTGTTATAAAGTAGGTCAAACCAAAGGAATGGTGAACACAGGACTCACTGTGATAGTTTATTTCTGGTAGGGGAGGCCAACTTTTATTTGAATGGTGGGTCTGTGGGTCCTCAATAAATATTTTTAAATAACTTAATAAAAATTTTATATCACTAAAATACAAACCAAACTTACTGCTGTTGAGTAGGATCCGACTCACAGCGGCCCCTCTTTGGGTTTCCCAGGTGGTATCTCTACAGAAGTAGATTGCCTAATCTTCCTTCTGAGGAATGGCTGGTGGGTTTGAACCGCCAGCCTTCTGGTTAGCAGTCAAATGCCTTAGGCACTATGCCACCAGAGCTCCAGTAACTAGAATTTATTCACCCTAGTGAATTATTCATAGCAGTGTGAAGATTGGCCTAATTGCTCACAAGTCTTCCAGTATTTGGAAAGACATTTCTTTCTTGTGCTTTCTAGTATTATGAGACACTCCATAAACATTTCTCTTTGATCTCAATCCATCAACCTGTCCACTGCATTGATCTCTGTCTAGTTGTAAAGTAGAACTAAAGGTCAACTCTCCCTTTCCGGGCCAATCTTTTTATTAGAACTCATGAGTTAATACTGATACACACTCACTAGATAATTGTTTTGGATATAAGCAGTTTAAGTTTCCTTCCTTCTTAGCAGAAACAATAAATACTCATTGGACATGAATCACACAGCACACATTTTGGATTCTGTATTAAAGATTACATTCTAAAGCATCTGGTTTGTGGAAGGGTGCGGTCTACAGTGGAAGCCCTAATGACTTAAGTTCAGACACCATTTGAGTTCTTTTAACCATTACACCAGCAATATGGCTATATGTGGACAAGTTTAGGAGAAACCTGAGTTTAGGACAAGCCTGAGTTTGTCCTCAGGAAGACTGTGCTTGAAAGTAGATTATACTCAAAGAACTAGGGGAATTGCCTGAAGTGTGTCCTTATCTAATTTAAATTAAAGGTTGAAGTCCTGATATTGTCTTGTAGCCACATTGTAGCTATAACTCAGGCCACATGGTCATGAGTCATACCCTTACCAGGTGGTCAAGCCCCAGAACCCAGTCCTGTAACCCTACTTAGCCCTACTTCTGTAGTTCTGTCTGCCACTGTGATCAATTGAGCTGCCATCAATCATGATTTTGTGATTTCCTTTTTCAATCATATATATAATTAGCCCCATGGATGACTCAGTGCCACTCTAATTCCACTTTCCACACTGTGTACATGCTGGTGATATCCCTCATCCTGGATGTTTGTCTTTGTCCTGCCAAGGTTTACTAAAAGGGTTTCTATAGAACATATTAAGGAGCTCTGGTTGTGCAGTGACCTAAGGCATTTGCTTGCTAAGCAGAAGATTGGAGGTTCAAACACACCAGCAATTCTGCAGAAGGAAGATGAGACAATCTACTTCCGTAAAGATTTACGGCCTCAGAAACCCAAAGGAGGTGGCTAGGAGCCAGAATCCACTCTATGGCAGTGGGTTTTTTTTTTTTTTGGAGGGGCAGTTATAGAACATATTAAGGAGCTCTGGTGGTGCTGTGGTTGAGGCATCAGGCTATTAACCAAAAGGTTAGCGGTTCAAACCCACCAGCCACTCTGTGGGAAACAGATGAGGCAGTCTTGCACAAAGATTTACAGCGTTGGAAACTGTAACCTGAGTGACCTGATGGCAGTGGGTTTGGTCTGGGTTAGCCTTAGGCACTACACCACCAGAAAGTTTTAATTTGGTCCTTTCCCCCCTAGCACAGTGCTAATATCACAGCAGCCAAACAGCAAATATTTATTCAGCGTCTAAATATACACAAGGAGCTCTGGTAGTGTATAGTGCCTAAGGCACTTGACTGCTTACCAGAAGACTGGCGGTTCAAACCCACCAGCCACTCTTAGGAAGGAAGGTTGGGCAATCTACTTCCATAAAGATACTGCTTCGGAAACCCGAGGAGGGGTAGCTATGAGTTAGATCCCACTCCACAGCACTGGGAAATCTTTACAGAAGACTGCCTCATCTTTCTTCCGCAGAGGGGCTAATGGGTTCAAACCACCTTTTTTTTTTTTTTTTCGTTAGTAAGCCAAATGCCTTAGGCACTGAGCCACCTGAGCGCCTTTAGGTATACACAAACACTTTATAAGATAACACAGTGTAGTTACAGAAAACGCCGGTGGCTTTTCCAAGGTAGGGCCAGCACTCGTCCCAACAGAGAAACGCGACCTGTTACCTGTGTATATATTTTATTTAAAAATATTTACTGAGGATCCACAGACCCACCATTCAAACAAAAGTTGAGAGCCATATTCAGTTCATCCACTAGTCCAGGCGCAACGGAAGGCAGTAGCCTTCATTGGCCCACGTGGGCACTGACGCCGCGCTCAGAAGTTCGAACACTGTCGTCCCAGGCCTCGACCAATGGGCGGAAAGGGCCCCCGAGTCCCCGCCCCGCCGCTGGGAGATGTGACAGAGACTCCTGGGTGCACGGGTAGACTTGGCTGAGTGTGTCTCCGCCCCTAGAGGTCGACTCACTGTTGATTCCTTGGCTGTCGGGGACTTGTCGGTCTTGTAGCCGCTTCTGCTGCTGCAGCCGCCGCACCATGGCTTTCGTGACCAGGCAATTCGTGCGCTCGGTGTCCTCCTCGTCCACCGCCTCCGCCTCGGCGAAGAAAATCATCCTCAAGCACGTGACAGTCATCGGCGGCGGAATTATGGGGGCCGGCATTGCCCAGGTGAGCCACCCTGCCAACAGTGCATTTCGCTAGCTTTACTGCCCACCCTTGGCGGGCCGCGACTGGCGAGGGGTATCAGGCAGAGGAGCCACCACTCACCAGAGACCGGGGGAATTTTCACCCCGCCCTTCCCCTGTGCAGCTGAAATATTTCTAGTCCGGGCCTGTTAAGGTTGAACAATTTCCATCCATTCCGCAAAGGAGCCTCAGTTTGTGTTTAAAAGTCCAGCTGCCTCCAACACCCTGTGAGGCTTTGTGGAGAATGTTGGTGAAAGCACTTTGGAACTGGGCGTTGCAGAGAGAGCATAAAACCAAACCAAACCCGTTTCCCTGGAGTCGATTCCGATTTATAGCGACCTTATAGGACAGGGCAGAACCTTCCCCAAAGTGTTTTCAAGGCTGTAAAATTTTACGGAAGCAGACTGCGGCATCTTTCTCCCACGGAGCAGCTGTTGGTTCGTAGCAGAGCGCTTTGGCCACTGCGCCACCAGGGCTTCTTGTTCAGAGAAGAGAATACTATCTGTGCCCCCATAACGTGTTTACTTCTTACTCACTTAAAACAAGAATTTTCTTCTTGAGACCTGGACTGCCATCATTTTAAATTTTATTTACTAGTTTTTAAAAATGTCTGCAGACTTTGTCAGAGTAGTATCTGCTCTCTTGAACAGTCTTCCTCTCTCTCCCATGTGTTTACTTCTTTTGCTGACAGCTATCTCTTTTTTTTCTCTCTCTCTCTCTCACTCTCTCACTGCCTTCCAGTGGGATCCAACTCATAGCGACCCCTCTTTGGGGTTCCCAGGCGGTATCACTAGGGAAGTAGATTGCCCAGCCTTCCTTCCGAGGAGTGGCTGGTGGGTTTGAACCATCAGTCTTCTGGTTAGCAGTGAGATGCCTTAGGCCACCAGATCACCTATCATTTTTGTAGTATTTCATAAAGTCACTTAATCTGAGCTTGCTTTGCTGCCCCCTGGAATCCTTGGACAGCAGAATGAGGCAAGTTTGACCATACATAACATGGTGGATTCTGGGCAGAGAATTTATCAATTTAGTGCTGGGGAGAGTATGAGGGGGAGATAAAAGCTGCAGCCTTCTGCCCCAAGGAGTCCCTAATCTCTTTGCACATCTTCAGGACTTTGCCCCGTACCAGGCCTCCTGTGGTTCAGGGTCAATTGTGTGATTGATTACCTGAGATACTATAATGCTTGCATTACAGTAATTTTGAATGATTATATCTCAGCTCACATTGGAGAATGATGATGTTTGTATCTGGGCTGATTATATTCTTAACAATTCAACTCTTTGCAACTTAGGTTGTTGGGGGAGGGTAGCTAATTTTTCTTGGAGTGGGGCCTTATGTTCTGTACCTACAGTCACATGACTTTAATTTTTGAGTATCTGTTTCCAACCAAGGGCTCATTTTTATGCTTGCTTTTTAAATAAATCTTATACTGTTACAGGCAGTCCCCGAGCTATGAATAAGATCCGTTCCAAAGTGTGTCTTTAAGTCGATTTTGTAGGTAAGTTGGAACAGGTGCATACTGTTCTTATTTAGCCTTACTTTAGTGCAAGAGGAGGCTCTAAACATTTTGAAAAATGATTTAAAAGCTGCACCTGCAGCAAATGAAGGTGATTGTGGTGAAGAATTTATTTTTTGTTTCAAAGTGAGGCCAAATTTATATAATATTAAAAGGCAAATAGGAGTTGTCTGTCAGTCAGACCTTGTAACCTAGGGACTGCCTGTATTATATATCTTAATTTTTTTCTCCCTGCAGAATTTTTGCCATATGTTAGATTGATTGCGTTTTTTCCTATAATATCTATTTCTATCATGTTTTATTCTTCTGACTTATAGTCTTCCATTTCTCTTCCCTGAGATCATGTTATGAACATACATTGCCCTTTTGTGTATGTGCAGATGCTACAGCTGCTAGATTATGTTGTTGTTACTGTTGTTGTTATATGCCCCATAATCTGTTATACATGGGATAGCAGGAAGAAGCCAATTTAGCCTAAAATTTCTAGACGTTATACTCAAGAGAAAGCTTAGCTTGAGAGCACTTTTATCCCCCTGATCCACCAAAATCTTTTGAGGTTATGAGAGTGAAATTTGTGTGAGCGAGAATAAACTACTGGTTTAGAAATACACAGCATCTGAGGAGCCCCAAGGGTGCAACACTGAGCTGCTATTCCAAAGGCTGATGGTTCCATCCACCCAGCAGTTCCACAGGAGAAAGACTTGATGATCTGGTCTGGTAAAGATTACAGTTTAGAGTGGAAAAATCCTATTCTTGTCACATGGGGTTGCTGTGAGTTGAAAGTTGACTCAATGGCACCTAACAGCAACTTGTAACAAGGTATCAGTGCCTTAAGCCTCTAGTAAGAAGAAAGGAAGTGAGTCCAGAAAATACTGTGGACATAAATGCAAGAGGATTGGAAACAGTAGAAAGCATCACTTCAACTCAGTTCTTACAATATTGCATCCATTATTGGCCAAAAAAAGGGGCTGTGTAGCATGAAAAGGCCCAGAAATGGCACCTAAAATTACAGGCATACCTTGTTTCATTGCATTTCACTTTATTGTACATGACAGATACTGCAGTTTTTCCTTTTTTGTTTGTTTTTTTACAAATTGGACATTTGTGGCAACGCTGCATTGAGCAATCTTTTGGCACCATTTTTCCAACAGCATGTGCTCACTTCATGTCTCTGTGTCACATTTTGGGAATTCCCACAGTATTTCATACTTTTTTATAATGCTGCTGTACACTTAATACTATACTATAGTGTAAACATAACTTTTATATGCACTAGAAAACTGAAAAATGTGCATGACTTACTTTATTGCAATAGTAGCTTTATTGCAGTGGTCTGGAACTGAACCTGCAATATCTCTGAGGTATGTCTGAACAAGTGTGGTGTTGGAATGAGAAGAGAGGGAGGAGAAATGATTGACATTGATGAGAAATGCAGATTTGTGAATCAAATCCTTGACTAGCTGGATTAGGGAGTATCTTTTGAAACTTAGAGGAAAAAAAAAAAGCTGTTTGTCCCAAAGGTTATAAACATAATGGAATTTGTTATTCCAGAAGGTGATGAAGACCAAAAATCTAAGTAGTGGACAATTGAATGTAACAATTGTTTGAGAAAGACATCATGCTTGGTAAAGTAGAGTGTCACCAAAAAAGAGGAAGACCCTCAAAGAGATGAATTGACATCTGTAGCAATGGACTCAACATAGCAACGATTGTGAGGATGGTGCCTGACTGGGCAGTGTTTTATTCTGTTGTACGTAGGGTTGCTATGAGTTGGAACCAACTCAGTGGTACCTAACAACAACAAGAGCAGCCACTTTAGGTGGTGACCATAATCTTGTGGAGGGGAACCATGCTGTCCTGCAAAACATCTTGTATCACTTTCAGCTAGTTGTTTTTTTTTTGTTATTTATGCTCCTTTATGAATAGCTTTTGGCACAAGCTAAATCTCTTTTGCTTATTGAGTTGTTGTTGTTGTTGTCGTTGTTTGCCATCGAGTCGTACCACTGACTAATTAATTGTGCTTTGAGTGCAGATTGGCTCTAGCTCAATGTAATGGTTGCTAGTTTGGGCTTGGATTTGGACACCACCAGAGAATGTTTTGCTCTGTCCCATGCTAGCGGGACATGAGAAAGTAACGTAACCTCTATGCCTTGTTTTCCTCATTTCTAAAATAAGATTCATACTAGTTTCCATAGAGGTCTGGAGAGGGTTGACTGAATTAATGCATGTAAAGCACTTAGCACAGGATCTGGTACCTAGTAAGAACTCAGGAGATGTTAGCTCTCTTTATGATTATTATCTTCATTGCAATTATCTTTGTCCTGTTGCCATTCTCCCCTCATATCCACTCTCATCTCTGATTGTTTCTACTGAGATAGGCCCATAATGTTCGGATAAAGAGTATTTGATGTGACTCTTTATTCATCTTGTTTAATTTTGAATGCAGATGCTAATTGATAACTCAGTTTGTTCAGGGACCGGGTACTTTTTATTTATTTATTTTTATTGTGAGTTGGGTGGAAGTTTATAGAGAAAATTCATCTTCCATACAGCAGTTCATACACATTTTATTTCATGAAGTTGACTGCAATTCCCCATAGTGTAATAGCTCTCTTCCCACTTCCTCCCTGTAGCTACCTCTTTGCTGTGTCATTCTTTCCTGTGCATTCCTGCCCTCTGAGCTATCTCACTGTGCCTACTGCCCTTCTGTTCTCCCATGATTGATTGTTCTAAGGAGTGTATCTGCCTGATGTAAATGATCACCCTATATACCTGTCTGTTTTTTGGCTAGAAGCCGTGTGAAAAGTTCAATTCGAGACCTGAAGGGTCACTAGGGGCCCTAGTCTTGGGGGGTCTCGCCAGGCTGTATCAGACCAGTAAACCTGGTCTTTTCAGGCACTTTTTAATTTTTTTATTGCTAAACCTCAGAAAAGCCTTAAAAACACAACCACAGATCATGCTACTAATTCACATTTAGCTTCACTCTTCTGTACTTTTTCTGAGGTAGTTTTAATTTTAATCAAGATGCAGTTCTGTTTATAACTTTAATTTTTTAGGTCATTTTTGTCATATGTTCTAGTTCATGCTGAGCAGGATGAAAAAATTTAAACAGATTTTTTGGGGTCTGGTAATTCCTTTTCTTAAGGAGGTGAACAGTTTAAGACAAGTGAGGTCCCTGCTTAATTACATTTGATCAGAGCACAGGCCATTTGTACATTTGTATTCTCCAAATGTAACTACTTTGCCTGTCATTTATTATGTTTGTTTTAAATTAAAAAAAAAAAGGCCTTAGGCTGCAGGTTAATATTTAAGTAACGTTAACGTGTTTTATGTGTTTGCCCATTAAACACTTCTGACTTCATTCTCATTGCCAATTTATCTTCTGCTGGATATTTAGGCCAACAAGGAAGCTTAGAGCATTCAGTGACCCTTGAGTGGGGGATAGATTTTTATGTTTTTTTCTTTT